AAGAACTTTTTTGCCGTCAAACTTGAGACCGTTCTTGTTGAGCTTCTTAAGCATCTTGGCGGTTCTTTTCACCATAAGAGCAAGACTTGCATCATCAATTTCATCATCACTTGAGCTTTCATATTCAATTCTTGCTTTGCCCTTGTTCTCTTGGCTAGCCTTGAATGCCAAGTCTTTCTTCTTGGTGGAGGAAGAGCCATCTTGTGGTGTGATGTGCATATACATTTCATGTGCATTGATCTTTCTCAATATTTGTGTTGGTGTAGCGGTGGAAAGATCACCTTGATGGAGCATGGTCACAATATGCCCATATTTGTCAATAGGGAGGACACTCAAGATCTTTCTTATAACATCGGATGGTTGCATTTATATGAGTCTAAGCCCATTGACTTTCTCTACAAGGACATTCAAGCGTGAGTACATTTCATTAGCACTTTCTTTTACAAGCATCTCAAATGAATTAAGCTTTTTCATAACTAGATGATAGTGTTCCTCGCGCTCACTCTTTGTTCCCTCATGGAGCGCACAAATGTCCGACCATAGTGCATGGGCGTCCTTGTGGTTCCGCACACGGTTAAACACATCTTTGCAAAGGCCTCTAAAGATGGTGTTTCTAGCCTTTGCATTTCATTTCTCATAATTGACCTCATCGCCTTGAAGGTGTGCGGGATCCTTAGGTTTTGGAAAACCTTGAGAGGTGGCTCTAAGAATTCCAACATTTAGAGCTTCTAAGTAAGCCTCCATGCGGATTTTCCAATAAGGAAAATCATCTCCCTCAAAGATAGGAGGAGGTCCATCCCTATGGGACATCTTTCTCTAGGCGGTTAAGCCTAATTTAGTGAGCACGAGGCTCTGATACCAATTGAAAGGATCAAGATGCCCAAGAGGGGAGGTGAATTGGGCTAATTCTAAAATTCTTTGTAATAATTAAACCCTACACTTAACCCACTTCATCCCTTGTGCCTAGAATGTGTTCCCATTGTTCTACCGCACAAAAGTTTTGTACCCTAGGTTTTAATCCTACTCTAGCATGGCAGTCCTAAGAATGTAAAGACAAGAAATGAATTGCTCAAATGTAAATGCTTAAAGTAAAGAGAGGAGAAGGAACGTGGCGATGTTTTGCTGAGATATCGGAGAGTCGCCACTCTCCACTAGTCCTCGTTGGAGCACCCGCGCAAGGGTGTAGCTCCCCCTTGATTCGCGCAAGGATCAAGTGCTCTCTATGGGCTAATTCTTCGACACTCCATCGTGGTGAATCGTCCACAACCGCTCACAACTTGAGTTGGGTCATCCATAAGCTTCGCCGGATGATCATCAAACTCTCAATCACCACTAAGCCGTCTAAGTGATGGCGATCACCAAGAGTAACAAGCATGAACTCTCACTTGACCATAACAAGCCTAATGAGAAGGGTGGATGCTCACTTGTTACTCTCCTTACACTAATGAGGCCTTAATCTTAGATTCTCAAATCTCAATCACCTCACTAGGCTCTTGCTCTCTTTTTCACCCTCAAGGGTGTTTCTCAGCTAAACAAATGGGGAAGAGACCTTCCTTGGATGAATAGAGGAAGTATTTATACCCCCTCATTCAAAACGAACGGTTAGAAGGTTGAGTCAGCACTCTACGGGGTGACCGGACGCTCCAGTCAGTTATCCCTGCCAAAGAGCCATTAAGTTGTGACCGGACTCTGACTTGCGTCCGGTCAGCACTGACCGGACGCGTCCGGTCACGAAAACTGCTCTTTGGAACCTTACTGATGTTGACCGGACGCTGGCACCTAGAGTTCGGTCACTTCGCTGTTCAGCGTCCGGTCAGTAACCGGATCCTGACCAGCGTTCGGTCAGCAATGACTGAACGCGTCCGATCAGCAAACTCCCTCTCTGGAACCTCTCTGGAGTTGACCGAACTCTGGCACCCAGCGTCCAGTCACTTTTCACTCAGAGTCCGATCGCAACCAGACGGCTCCAGTTGATCAAATGAACTGACCGGACTTACCCTTCAGCTTCCGGTCACAACCAGACCAGCGTCCGGTCAATCATTTGACTCTCCATTCACTTTCAACTCGAAATCATATGTGAATGAAGTTTGCTCCAATTGATCTTAGGGCTACTCCAGAGCTACCTAGTGCTAGATTTGACAAGTGTGCGCCACACCTTACTCACTAGACTAACCTAGGTCAAGCTACTAGTTCATACCCCCCTTAATAGAACTTCCAAAGGAAAAAATAAAGTTCTAAACTACTCTAAGTGTCTCTTCAACTCCAAACGATACTTAGAACTAGTCCATCCTTAACCTTGTCGTCCATCCTTTGAAAACCGAAACGATTTCCATCGTAGGGGCATGATAACCATGATTGCCCAATCAATTGCCATTACCATGACCTAACTTAATTGCCTCTGTAAAACACACGTTAGTCATAGTAATCTCGTATTGTCATTAATCACCGAAACCCAACTAGGGGCCTAGATGCTTTCAGTCGTTCACACCGCGTATTGACTGTTTCGCTACACGAACTCACAACCATGTGGTCAGCCGCGTGACGCTCGCGCGCCGTCGTAAAGACGACCAGTTAGCCAGTCACATAATGAGGAAGCAAGAACGGAGTAAAATAGTTCAATTCGCGCGTAACGCTATTCGCCAAAACGATCTGATCTACAACCAACCATGCAAAATATTTAATCTAGATCAAAAACAGCACAAGCACATCTCTGGTACCACTGTTAGGAAACGTGGTATGCTACTCGCTAGCACACAAAGAATTAACCGCGTAAACAGGATCACTTGCGAGTAGATGATCATAGATTATACCTTCGCTCGTCGCGCGTCGCGGCGGAAGTCTTGATGAAGCGCGAGTAGTCGATTCGATCAACGTCGAGGAAGTAGTCGTACGATCTGACGAAGTGCGCAACCTAGCGACACCTCTACGATAGTCCACACGTACGGGATGGGACGACGAACCGGAGCGTGCTAGCACTCCACGGCATGTACTCGAAGATCCTCACGATCAACCTTTGATGGGGGGGACACTGTAGGTGCGGCGGCGGCAGGAACCTTGGCCGGTGGCTGCACTGGCAGGAGCCCTGCGACAACAGGAATACCTTCTAGGGTTAAAGGCTGATTAGCATTTATAGACTTGCTAATTGGGCCAGCGCTAATTGGGCCAGGCCCCTCTTGGGCATTACCAGCAATCCCTTCATGCCAAAACAAAGCCAAACCACCACCTCCAGTGCTTGAACTATCCACTGCAATACAATTTTTCAGGCCCTAACGCCACCTCAAGTTAGCCGCACGAACACCAGGCGGGGACTTTTAGCTCCAACAAGAGCAGTAAATTCTTGAACTGTCCGAGAGAGCCCCAACCCTCGGCAGTTCCAACTTAGTAGATTCATTGCTCCTGACCGTCAGGTTGAGAGACAACTGATCACCATCAACTACTTTCCTCCGCTTGCAAGAATCATCCTGCACCTCTGAGTTTGCACTGAGATCTTGATTTATCACATTTATCTCCAAGTCACGGCGCTTGCCAAGTATACCCAGGCTCTGCTTAACAAGAGCAGCATTCTGCTGAACAATTTCCCGCAGCTCGGGCTCAAGATGGTCTCCCCGACAAACTGCGACAAGTCGCTCAGCCTCACCTGCAGACATAGTAGGAAACTCAGCTTGCACCTTTCGAATCTCATCTGAGACCGTGTCCAGACCCACAGCAGCCCCGGCCACTGCTCCCGCCGGCATCTGATATGTATTGTCGGACGAGGAATAGTGCCGTGCTTTGAATTTACGCTGAATTTTGAGCGCTTGGATTCTGCCATCCGATCCTCCCACCTACACCTTGATTCTTAGCTCCAGCTGCATATGATACTTGTTGAACTTTGGAGGATTTGGAGCAGGCGGAACGCACTGATTTTTCCAAGGGCAAGATCCCTCCACTCAAGAGGTTCTAAGAGCGGTGATCAGGGATGTTGATCAGTGGGCCTGCCGGTATATAGGACAGACAAATTCCTGGTTAAGGCATGGAGGGATTTATTCCTCTCCCACTGTAACAATCTACACTTCTGTAGCTTTCTCCCCACCCCTGCTTCTCATACTCTCACATTTACTGTACAACCTCCGAGGTCTCTGCTGTAAATGTGGGCTGCAATTTTCAGCTCTTCGTTCAATATAAGTAGGTGGGCATCTCCTCCGAACTGATACGAAAAAAGACAGTGATTCTTATAGGAGAGCAGGTGAGATATGATTCTGAAATAATTCCAGTAAACACTGAATAAGAAACCGTGAGGAGCATGTATTTTTTTAGTTTTCAGTTTACTAGTGTAGTAAACGGAGAAGTGAATTTTTTTTCCTGACTTTCAACTATTTATAGCCGAGGAGGGACCATTCTCACGAAGACAAAGGTGTTGTAAAGAGCGGTGCGAAGCGCCCAAACGGATCCTAGGCCCCGTTTGGCAATTATTCGGATTCTTGCGAAAATCAGTAGAATCAATACCAAACGGATTAGATGAGAAACGTTTTCGAGAATCACTGGAAGCGTTTTTTGTTTTTATGCCTAGCAAGAAGAAACACATGCATGTTAGCTGGTTTCGCGTGATTTTGATTTTTGCCCCCTTTTTATTAACAACAATTATTATTTAGTTAGTTTTTTAAGTGGAATAAGTTAAAATATGTTGCATTTAAGTTGTTGTTCTTCACAAAAGTTTTAAATTTTTCTGAAGTATTTATATGATTTTTCATAAAAATATATTTTTTTGAATCAGATCCAGCCCATCAAGCCAAAAGGTTTGACAAAGTGATTCTGGTTCATCATGAGAAACCTTTCTTAAACAAATTCAGATTCGAAACATTTCTACTAGAATCTAGATCTCTACCAAACACACAAACTATTCACCGTTTACATAGCACTATTACTTAGTATACTATACTAGTAGGCAGTAGCTGATTAAACGGAGGCAAAACTATGCTACAAGTCATATACACCACTGCACGGACCTGTCCCTTTCTACCCTAGTAGAACACTTGACCGAGAACAGAGAACGGGAACGGCACGGCGCCCCTGCTCTGCGCCAGCTCCGCGGCCCCGCCCGCGCCGGCCTCGGCCCCGACCCCGATCCGCCGCCTTTTGCTCGGCGCCGCCTCCACGGGCGCAGTCGGCGACCCGTTGCCGGCCACGGCCAGTTCCTCCTTCTTGGCGAGCATAGCGCGCAGCACGACGCCGGGTTCGTCCGCGAGCTTGGCGAGGAACGCCATCATCTGGCCCGGGCGTCTCTCGGCGGCGCGCAGGCGGCGGTCCATGGCCTGCAGCTCCTCCTCCATCCCGCGCTGCTCCTCCCGCAGGCGCTGCACGGCCCGGATGGTCCCGCGCACATCCTCCCCCTCCTCGCACAGCAGGTCCCGGTCCCGGCAGCCGCCCAGGCCGCCCGCCTTCTTCTTCTTGCGCACGACCAGCGGCAGCAGGTGCGCCTGGCCCCGGAGGAACGACTCGTGCGCGAACTCCCACCGGTCCGTGTCCACCTTCCTGAACCCCTGTAATCGCCAAGAACTGTTATGATCACACGAGGAGTGCCAGCTGACAGCTGAGTGAGTGGAGTGGAGTGGAGCAGAGGAGGTAGCTAGCGCGCACTCACGTAGGTGTTGAGCTGCCGGACGAAGCTGGCAAAGTTGCGGTGCTTGAAGTAGGAGGGCAGCAGGTAGTCGGAGAAGGTGGCTGGATCGAGGACGAGGAAGGTGTTGCTGGCGCCGCCCCAGCGCACGACGGCGTCCGTGGCCGGGTCGCTCACCATGTGGAACGTCTTCTCCACGAACGGTGCGATGGCGCCCGCCTGCTCCAGCTGCTGCTGCGGGCTGGCGACGCCGATGCCGTAGCCTGCGGCGTGAAGCTGAAGGTGGCCCTTGCACTCGCTGCCCATGACGCTTGCTCCCTAGAACAAGTGAACAACAGATCCCCCGGTTCCCGCTTTGCGCCAGGCGAAGAACCGGATAAGAAAGCCGCTCGCTTTTCTTTCTCTTGCCGTTCTGTTCGCTCGGTGTGTGTGTGTGTGGTGGCCGTGTGTGGGTTTATTCGTCTCCTTCGTCGGTGCGGGGCGAGTCCAACATGTCCAGTTGTCCACAGATATTTCTGCCGACCTTATCGGCGGCCTCAGCTCGCGGGGCGGACCGCGGACGCGAGTGCGTGTGTCCGGCCCAGAGGAGGACGGAGGCCAGGTGGCTCGGTTCGGGCTCGGCGCTCGGCGGCAACGGCAACAAATGGAGCCATGTGATTTGTGAGGATTCGATGCTTGTCGCGTAGTACGGGCCACGTGTGGCGGCACAGGCATAAAGTGTCGCGCTGTCCCCTGGGTCATAGCATGTCCGTTTACAGGCGTTGCGCTCTTCGGCCGTTCGGCTGCGGAAAAACGGCGGATGATGCTGATTGGTTGAGAGTGAAAAATATCGTTATTTTATTGAAATGGTATCGGCTGATAAGTTTATATGAACAGGACCGTCCCTAGCCTGTTGCGCTTTTTTTTAGTAGCGTGACTAGAAACACCCAAACACCTCCCCTAGATTTTGGGCCAGTATTTAAAATTTGCAATGGATAGCAGTCCCTTCCATCTGTTTCGATCCATCAGAGACTACCAATGGTGCGTATGTTTAATATGTCTAGATAATCAGCACTGTATCTGCATCCGCTACCAATTTCTTTACTATTTTCAGATGCTCTAAGATAAGGGTCTGACCGCTTTTTCAATGATCCAATTATCATCATACCGAGACATTGTTTAAAGATGGCTTTCCATTTCTCTACTGCCACTTGTGAACCACAGGTGAGCTAGCTTTGGAAATTTCCCAGTCACTACATAGCAATCTATAATCTGTAACCGGCATTAGTTAATGGGTGAAATATTTTGTCAAGGTAATATTAGATTTTGTGCTTGCAGAAGATATGGAGCAGATTTTTACAAGGCGTAGGTACTAGTGCATATGGCATACATCCGGTAATGGCAAGGATCCCTCAAACACACTGCAACTATGAATAAACGGATCATATTCTTGCTACTTGACCTAATAACAATGCTATTTTTTTGTCTGTATCTTCATCACTCGTAGCATCTGTTCGTTCACGGTAAAAGCACTTATTTGAGGGGGTAGGAAAAGCATTAGTGCTTTTTAGTGTCTGTGCCCAGTTGCCCACCTAGTTGGATGCCTTAATAAACAGTCTAGAATACTTGAAAATCTTTGATGAGCACAGGGAACATGGTAGTATTAGTCGATGTTATTACAAGCCCACCACGTCGCACTTGTATCAGGCCAAGAGATCGTGTCACTGAAAGAGACGTATCATGGACTAGCAGATGGAGCAGCTTAATATGTGCAGCGCAGGTGTGGAGGTTATTAACTCTTTTGGATCGAGATCAGTGGGTATTTTGACTTTCATTCGAACACATAGATCCAGAGAGAGAGAGAAGAAAAGGGAGAGGTACAGACCGTCGGGCTTGGTGGACGAGCTCGAGGAGTCTATGGCGTCGGTGTCAGTGGCGGTGTGGCAGTGACGGTGTAGAGGTGGCGGAGTCCCGGCGCGGTGGAGCTACGGCGGTCCGGTGGTGCTTCCCGCCGCTGGCAGTGCCACCCTCTGGATCGGATTAGGGTTAGGACAGTGGGGCTGTGGCGGCGGTGAACCTCATACCCTGAGCCGTTTGCCCCACCTCCTCTTTATAGGCACTGTGCGACGGGGGCCCACCAGCCACTAGATGGCTGGACGTCCCCGATCAGGACGCGGTCAAGGGGTCCGTCTCGACCGTTGGGTCAAGACGGATGAGATCAATTCTAACATTCTCCGCCTTGATCTCAACTCATACTTTAACTTTAAACTTTGACTTTAATTCCTTTCACTTTTATTTGTTCCATCACGGATTAGTGCATAGAGCTTGCTTCATCGTCACGGTCAATCGCCGATAGACTTAACAGCTACAATACACGTCTCTGTTCTGAAACAGATTCTTTAACTTTTAGGCCATTTATTGTCCGAAAATCATAGGCTATACCATAAACCCATGTCGACTGTGTGTTCTCCAAACACACTGGGTGGTAAGCCTTTTATACGCGGATCCGCAAGCACTTGCTTGTTACTTTTATATTCAATACTTTCAGTATGATTCCGGACTTTCTCCTTCACAACGTATAACTTTAACGTCAATGTGTTTAGCAGCACACTTGACCCGTTGTTATAGGAGCGAACTTCTTAAATGGTTATTGCTCTTGTATACCATTATCAATTCTGGGTGTAAGTTCATTTAACCATTTCGCTTGTCCTTAAGCCTCATAACAAGCTATACTGTGGGTATGCATCTTTAATGACACCACAACTGTTTCTTTGGAGCTTTTCCACAATAAAACTCCAACTGCAAGTGTTAGCTACTATGTGGGTTTCACTAAACATCTCGCCAAAATTTAACATTTGTACCCACAACTATTTGAGAGTACTTATTCTTTCTTACTCACCATGAGACCTATAAATCTTTGCACAATAGCAAAACATTCTCAACTCCATTCCAGTGATCTATATCTGGACTGGACTTCTGCCAAAACATCCCGGATACATGAACTATGTCAGGGTAAGTTCTTACTTATAAGCACTCATTAAGCTTCCAACAGCTGAAGCATATAGGACGTCCTTTCGATCTCACATTGGTTCTTGGAACACTGAAAGTTCCCAAAACTATTACCCTTGATTATAGGAACAGACGTATGTTTATTTACATATATATTTTATTTCTTTAGAATCTTCTCTAAGTATACACTTGAGATAGTTCTAATACCTATTTTCCTTTTATCTCGGTAAGTTCCAATTCCTGGAATAAATGATGCTTTACTAAGACCATTCTCATTAAAACTTGAGGACAAGAACTGCTTCTTCTCCAACAGTAGATTAACATCACTACTAGCGAGTAAGGTGCTACCCACATGTAGGATTAGGAAAATAAATTTCCCATGTTTAAACTTTGCATAAATACAATTGTCCTCTACATTCTCTTTAAAACCCAAACTTTTTTATTGTACTGTCAAACTTCAAGAACCACTGTCTTGAAGCTTGCTTTAATCCATAAATGGATTTCTTTAGGCAACATCCCTTACGTTCTTTTCCTTTCACGATAAAACCTTTTGAGTTATGTCATGTAAACTTTTCCATACAAATCCCCATTGAGGAATGTGTCTTTACATCCTTTTGATGTTACTGTCAATCGTAATGTGTCACTAACACCATTATGATTCTAAAAGAATCTTTGCATGCTCATTATAATCTATTCCTTCTCTTTGTGTAAATCATTTCGCCATAAGTGGTCCTTTATAGCTTTCAATATACCCTTTGGATATCTTTCTATATTCCCTTTGGAGTCACCTTTTTTCTTGTAGACCCATTACTGTCTACTGTTTTGGCTCCATTAGGAATTTCTTCTAAGTCTCAAGCATCGTTGGTATTTATCGATTTCATTTTATCTTCCTTTGCTTCTTGCCATTTAGACGAGTGAATGCCTCTCATGGCTTTTTCAAATGAGGTGGAATTATCCTCTATTTGAATTTCTTTCTTAACATTGACTTCTTAGTCACCAGAAATATCTGATTTTCTTATTCTTTAAGACCTTCTGGGGCCTCGTGGCACTTCTTTCATATGGGGCTATTGTTACTCTTCATTGCCAAAAGGCAATTGTCCTATAGCCTCCTGTATTATAAGATCCTTATTTACTTATTCATCTTCTTTAAGAGCCAACATTAGGTGTTGTATATCCATACAACATCAACATGTATTAAGCAATTTGTTGCTCTAAAAAACACTATAGTGGATATGTAATCCCACTTCTATTCAAGCATTAGGTATCATACCATGCTCCCCCAGATTACTCCATCTTTTGTAAAGATGGTGTATCTTCTAATTTCTTATTTGGGTTTAATCTGCTAAAAACTCATATGGCGCGTTTAGCACCGTCTTGATAACTCTGAACTCGTCAAGTATAAATACTAACCGACTATGCTATCTTTCTATCGGAACTGTAAAAGGATACAGGAATTTAGCTATTTCTTTACTTTAGGGGTATCGTTATTATGACCGTCTTACTCCCTCAACGATCACATTCATCTTTTATAGATCACCTTTACCTTCAATGCATAGTATGCATTGCATTATCTAAAGTATGAGGAAGTATCTTTCTTAATTGTCTTTCTTAATTAATCTTACATTTCTCCCCCTCGAAATGTGGTATGAACTTTTCTACCACAATTTCGAAACATTCATAACTCTTGTGAATGAGGAAACTTTGATTACTTACTTCATCCACATGATTACATCATGCAAACAAAATTCATATGGGAGTACATTTTCCTCATTACACTTCAAAACTCAACATATTCTATTATTATCAATACTTCTGCAAGTCACGCTTGCATATCATTCTTATCTTTTGGTTCACATGCAACTTTCTTTTGTTCTTAAACTCATTGAGTACTTAATAACCATGACACAATCAGAGTGTACGGTCAATACTATGATAGCATAAGAGCTACCCTAAACTTCTCTCCATGTGCGGGATACACTTAGAGCACATGAGTCATCACATCCTTCTCCCGCCATGCGGGATAAGTACTATGCCAAAACTCTCCTGCCATACAGGATTGGTTAACATAAGTACTATTCCAACTTTACCCCGCCATGCGGGTATTTTCTCAAACTTTTTCCACCATGCGGGTACTATCATAAACTTTTCCCGCCATGCGAGATAATTCCCTTGAATGGACATAACTGCCAGGATTGGCTCGTGTTCAATCATCAAATTCAGAAATAAATCCGAATATTCTTTAACACACATGTGTAATCCAATGTTAGTCAAATTAAACATGTATATGACTTTTACAACTCTCATAAGTGAAACTGAAA